AACTGGTTGATCAAATGGAGCTTACAGGCTAGGGAGAGAAGGAAATCATTAAATATTGTCAACATGACCAAACCCAAACTCATCTGTTTTCCCCAATCTAGCCTTCCTCAAACTTCTCTAAGAGAAGCACAGTTGCTCACACTTCTCTAAGACAGTCAGGCCATGTCATATTTGACTCTTCTCATGCCCTCTCCGCAACAACCAATGTATCACCTAGTCTTATCAAGTCTCTTAAGCATCATGTAAACTTGTCCACTTTTCTCCAATGAACTTTCAACACCTCAGTTTAGACCTCCATCATCTCCTATCTAAATTTCTGCTATAGTTTCCTAATGATTTCTGCTATAGCTTCCCTACATTCTTGTGCTTTTTCAATTCATTCTTACAAACCACAGCCAGAGTGATCTTTCTAAAAATAAATCCAATCAGGTCACTCCCCTGCCAATAACCCTTCAAAGGTTTCCCACTTACCTTAAGATAAAGATCACACTCCTTAACGTGGTTAACAGAACCTTACATTATCTGGCCTCTTCTCTTTCCACTTTCTCCCTCAAACCCTTCTTATCCAAACCCAATGAATTTATTTCACTCTTCTCTCACTTCCTGGCTTCTATATATGTGTGTTGCATTTGCATTAACCACTCTTTTTCTATCCCTTTGCCACTTTCCTACTTATCAAGCAGCTCTTCACTTCCTCCAGAAAGCCATACCTGATACCACTCCCCACCTGTTTGTGTTGGATTCTGATTTCTCTGTTCCCTATGTCGTCCTGTGTTATGCACATCATAGATGCTACCACACCAAACTGTATTTATTTACTTGTCTCTTTTCTCCCATCAGACTATAATATCACAGAAGGTAGGAATTTTGCCTATCATGTTCACTCTCCTGCCTCCAAGCTTAATACAATGCCTTGCACATGTGTAGTTAATTGTACAAATAGATGGATAGATGGATAAATTAATGAATGAATAAACAGTGTGATAAATGTTACAACAAAAAATTATCATAGAGTATCAAGACCACCCTCAGGTTCTATGGTTCCCTAGAAAGACTCATTGGACAGAGAGAAGTTGTTATACTCACAGTTATGGTTTATTAAAGCAAAACATTACAGATTAAAATCAGCAAGGGAAAGAGTTACATTACATATTGCAGAGTCCAGGAGAAACCAAATGCAAGCTTCCAACTGCCATGGACCAGAGGAGTCCCCACAGTGCTTAATTCTCCCAGCAACATTGTTACAACACATACAAAGTGTTACGAACCAGGGAAACCCCTTGATTCTTGGTTCCAGAGTTTTTATTGGAGGGGTGAGGGTAGGTCAGTCACATTGGTATGGAGCACCTACATGAGTGACCTTACTCAGTCTCCAGCCCCTCAACCAGAGGTCAAACTAATACAGAAGGCCCAAAGCCCAAGGCATAAAAATCAAAAATCAAAAACAGGCCTTCACTACAAATCGTGTTGTTAGCATAAACTATCTGTTTAAGTCTCAGGTATACAAAGACACTCTTATCAGGAAGGATATTTCAGGGACCCAGGAGGTAGTCAAAGGCCAGCCCTGAAGACCTGCAAAACGTGCAGGGTGTGGGTACCCCAGACCTGCTGAAATAATAATCCTTTACTGCTTACAGAAACTCAGTAGATTGGGGTGGGCTAAGGGAGACCTCCCAACAGAAACAACACCTGAGCTACATATTGAAAGAAAAGTATCAGCCAAAGACATGTAGGTAAGAAGACACTTCAAGTACACGTAGAAGAAGCATGAGCAAAATCACAAAGGCATAAGCGAGCGTGGTTCTTTAGGGAACTGAAAGTAGCTCATATGGCCGACATCCCCTCCACTCACAGACCCTCAAGCTTCTGTAACATTCCTGTTGCCATTCCGCTCCCACCTGGATTTATCCTCTCTCTAGGATATCTTTTCAAAAATGGGAAAATAGTACTCACATCAGCCTGTATGCTTCCCTTTTTTTATACAGTATATGAAACAGGTGGCTTTGCAGACAGGCATGAGCTGTGGCTAATAAATGGATGATTGTGTGCAAAGTAGCTTTACCTTATCACTGTTCACCCTCATTAACATCACAAGCCTTAGCTTCTCACAGCTTGTTCTCTTTTAACAGATGATGTTAAGGTCATGCACTAAGACATAGTTGTTGCAAAATAACTGACTATATTCTCTATTTTCTTTCCTAGGAGCAGTGAGAATACTATACCCTATTTACTTCCTGAGTAGAGCAGAAAATACTGGAAAGGAGGAATAAGTCCGTATCTCAAAATACAATCTCACTGTATTTGTATGTCTCCTTGCAAATTGCTCAAGAGAGAACAGCCTTCCATATCATTTAAAGTCCCCATAGCACATAGCTCATGAATCTATATTAGGCCAAATCTGCATGGCCATGCTCCCTATTCTCTACAATTAAGTAAAATAATACATGTGAAACAGTATAGTGTCTATACCCAACAGACTCTGTAATAAATTATTGTTGAAACTGAACACTAATGCTGTGAATACCAATTCCAAAATCACCTCTTTATCCAAAGGGGTAACAATTTGAATGTGTATAGAATTCAAGGTTTGAATGAAGTATGCCTTCTTAGCAATCAAAGCCACCAAACTTCACAAAAGCTAAAACTAAAACTAAGATTGTCCATAAGAAAACATTAGGAAAATAGGAGGAGTTAAACTTTGATGGGGAGAGTGGAGCAAACCAACTATGAAAAAATTAAACTAAACTATGTATCTAAGGCTAAAACCAAATTATATGAGGCCAAATGTGAACTAGGCAGAGGCCTAAAAGAAATCACATTTGCCCTCTTCACCCTGCTATTGCTTTGTTGGGAGTCCATGTGAGTCTGTATTTAAAGGGCAAAAAATGTACAGTCATGTGCTATAGAAACTGCTGTGCTTTCTCATGTAATGGTATAGGCTCCATACATGTTTAGTGTTAATGAGAATGATGCATTTCGGAAGCAGGAAAAAAACATAGGAATTGTTTAAAGGAAGAGAAAATGCAAATGTGAATGCCCACATGGAAATTGTGTGACCTTTACTAATTTTGAAAGTTACATGAAAGACTGAAAAAGACAACAAAATATTAAAGTTAATACTGCTCAATTTCAAAGCCTCCCTCTCTCCTAAGATTGATGCACGGGTATAACCACACAAAGAGAAGTTTTATTTTAAATGTAAACATTGCAAGAATAGTGCAAAGCCACCTGTTTCATATCCAAGACACAGTAAGTGTATTTTACTATAAAACCGTAAGTTGTTCCAAGACTGTCTAAATTTAGATCAACAGTATCATCGTATGCAATGAGCTAAAACTCAAATGTACGGATTGCTTCTCTTTTGATCAGCCTTTTGTGTGAATTGTCAAAGGCAGAAGGAGAAAATTGGGTACAGGGTGGTTTACATTTTTCCTGAGCAAACATGAAAGTCAGCCTATTCCAGAATAATTAGATCAAAGACATAATTTTTCTGTTAAGAAAACACAGAACAAATTCAAGGAGCAAGAGAAAATGTTAATATGGTCGGAAATTCCCACTAGCATAATCAACCAAAAATAACTCCAAAAATATCCTCCAAATTTTAATCCACGTGAATTACAAATGACAAACACAGTTAATAGAAACCATAATGGCCTGAACTAATTTGACTGAGCATGCAATGTCACATTGGCAAGGTCAGGCTTTAGTGCTCAATTACTATTCCTTCACACTGACTTTTAAGAAACTGTTTTGTGAGAAGAATGATCCCACTATCCCAACATGAATATTTATGTAACAATCCAAAGGGGGTTTGCATTTAGTTCTGTAAAAATATAAGATAGCAGAACCAGTCCATAATTATCAACTCCCATCATCCATTCCAGTTAAAACACAGAACACTAGAAATTTAGACATGGACTTGAAGAGAGTTACTGAGGTAGGGAGCTGCCAGCCTAGTGAGGGATTAGTGGCATTTTTCCTCCCCTCTCTGTGGAGGAAGACAGAGCCTTCCCTGCCTATCCCACCCTCAGCCAAACTAAGCAGTGGGAGCCCAAGAGAACCACTAGTAGAGAATAAGGAAAGTATTGGCATCTCCTCCTCAATCGGACATTAACAACCATAGAATCACCCTGGGCTGCCATGGTATAGGAACAAATACAGGAAGAGAGTTCTCAGGAAGGCTTGACAAATGTCCCCGAGAGCGAGAGGACTATAATAAAGCATTTAACTCCATTTTCTGATGTTTGATTATTGATCACTTTTAACCCTTGTGTCTTACATCTGGGCATGCCGATAAGAAAGCTTAGCTGTTCCCTCCTTTTGTACCAGGGGGAGATTCAAACAACACAGGCCTCTGCCCACCCATACATAGGGAGCCTCACCTCAGCCCCACCTCATAATCACAATAAAATTCCAAACCAGGGCTGGCCAAGTGGCGCAATGGTTAAGAACTGGCTTGGGACGCCAGAGGGCCCCGGTTCGGATCCCACATATGAGGGCCAGTGACACTGCCCTCTACAGCTAAGATGCTAAACAACAGCTCAACCTGGAGCTGGGCTGCCATGAGTCGACGGCGACGGCGTAGGCTGCAGCCCCTGCTGCAGTGGGTTGCCATGGGCTACCGTGTGTAGCCAGCAGCCAGCGTGAGCGGCCTGCAGCCGCAGTGAGCAGCCGTCCAGAAGCCAGCGACTGATGTGCCTCACCCGGGAAGAGCGCAATGATGGTGCCAACTTGGGCCAGTGAAGCAATGTCCTCCACAACTAGACTGAAGAACAAAACGACAGCAACTTGTCTGTTCCCCTTCCCCCAATCCCCCAGCACTGTTCCCACCCCCCAATTCCCCAATAAAAATCTTTAAAAAAAAAAATGTAGACTCTAGTGCTTGCTTCCCACATAAGAGAATTTGGAGGCCAGAGGCTGACTAGAGCCACCTGTAACGGCAGGGCAGGAAAAGAGGTTAGTGGTTGAAACAAGCTATAATTCTACCTGTTTACACCCACCTCAGGAAACTGTGCAGTTTGGTGGTCCCAGCAGGCCACATATACACCCCATATCATAGATGACTTTTGGAGTCTGAAGCAATGGTGGACATGAAAACCAGCCAGTATCAGTCAAGTAAGAACTCCACTGGCTCCAGAAATTGAATTCTGTCATCCCTCTTCTGCTCCTTCCTCCTGTGCCCGCGTCCTGGAAGAGCCATAAAAATTATGGAGGCAGGAGGAGGCTTTAAAAAATAGTGAAAGAACGAATCCTACCTTTCCGTCACCCCTCTGGAGGAGTGGGGCTGAGAGGTCTTGAATTGCACACGAGACCTCTGGCTTCTGCTTAGCACGCCGACATCTGGAAAGAGCACCCCACTCTTATACCAATAATACCAGTAACAACAGTAACAACAGAGCCAGACAATCTGAAAATTCACAACTCTTCTAGAACCCATCAGAGTTTAAGTGACCCAGCAACCAACTAACATGAAATCTAAGGAAAGATAAGACCCTCCAAAGGAGACAGGACATGAGCCCTTGCTTACTGGGCATGGGCACCAACACGCCTCGGTAAGAAGATTTCAACTAAAGTTTTTCACCAATTTATAGAATCCCTGGGGAATGCAGGCATAAGAGGAATTTACAACCACTCACAGGCTCTTCTCTGTGGACCCCACTGGGTGCTTATAAGAAAGACTAGGGTAATAGCAATAGTTGTGAGACAGTATCCCTCATGGTGCCTGGGGAAGGAAGACTGCAGCTAGTGTGGGAAGAGCAAAGCCCCACAGGATTCTTCTCCCCTATCTCTCCATAGAAACAAAAGCCTTACATCCTGTGGGAAGGTAACAAACACTGTCGCCCTGAAGACACTGTGAAAACCCATTGCAGGTGGGAGAAGGAACAGGATATAACCCTTTACCCCTTGGGAAGAGGCAGAATACATGCGGGGCCCAGAATTACAGCTGGGAGAGAAACCTGAGCACTGAGAATGCTACTCCACCCAACGTGTGGGTACACAGTACCTTCCTAAGACTGAAGGTTAATCAGAACAGCAGAGAAAAGCATGGCCCTCACCTCCCACCTCCATGGTAACAAGCTTCAAGTAACAAGTAAAAATGGTCCTCTGCCAGGAGAGAGGAAAGAGTGTGAAGAGAGACTCGCTCTGAGTAGCCGTGTAAACACACACAGAAAACAGACTGTACCCATAAGTCAGTGTGGGCAAGTAGGAGAGGCTACTATTGAAGCTGAGACCTGATGGACACATGGGAGGGAATATGGGCCAAGCACAGTGACACAGGCAGGAGAGAGGGTGGTGTGTTAGAGGGAAACAAGTAGTTCAGTTTACTTGGAATACAAAATGAGGAGAGGGAAGAAGGAAATAGGGTAGTAGGTTGAAACTGATGAGGCTAAATAGGAAAGGTTTAGAGTCCACACCACACAATTTAGATTTTATCCTGTAGATTAAAGATTTAGGAAGCCATTGAAGAAATTTAATCAGGATGAGGACACCATTAGGTTTGTGATTTAGAAAGATCTGGCAATGGCGTAGAGCTGTCTTACAATTGAATACGCTACATTCTTTCAAGAGAAAAAGTTTTCATGGACCCCCCACTCAGTGTCCGCTGATGCTTTTAATGTTGCTTAAATATATTACAAGACATGAACTCCTTATAGACTGTCTAAACCAAACTACAAACTAAATTAAATTTTAACTAACAATAATTTAATGCAATGATGCTTTCTTAAATTAAATTGCTACTCAGAGTGTAACTATTTTGATTCTGGTTCATTGGAGTTTGAAGAAAGAAGTAGATTTGAGTAACATTGCTGGAGGATTTAAATTGGATCACCTTTAATGTCCTTCAAGAGTTACAGGTAAAGAAATTCCTTTTAAATTATATTTTGTCTGTCAAACTCTACTTGGCAGAACTATACTTCTAGAGTGTGACATCTCAGGTTGAACCTCATAGATCATGCTTCAGAGCTACAACCACAAGAATTTAAGCTTTTTATATTGTTTCTCTGTTCATCTTAAAATGTTTAATATAAACATAGTCTGAATCACCTGTATGATTGCTTCATAACAAAGCTCTAGCACAAGAGTTCAGTACCCACCCACATTTGCCTTTGAGTTTATGATTCAATTCTACCATTTCAATTTTTTTGGATTGGTGTAGGAAACAGGTGAGCTTAATGTATAAATGCTGCTTTCCAGCATTTCCAGCTGGATGAAAGCTAACTTATCCATGTAGGTTTGAAGGAAAGAAGATTGTTCAGTATTTCAAAAAAGGAAACTAGAGAGGAAACTAAGAAAAGGCTGCATCAAAGCTGAATCTACCATTTATTGAGTGCTGACAATGTGCCAAGTACTGTGATAAACATCTTACATTCTCTGTCACGTTTAATCTTTACAAAAACCCTGTGAGATTCATATTGTTATCCATTTCTATAGATGAGGAAACTGAGGCTCAGAAAGATAGGAACAGCCAACTAGCAAATGACAGAGCCAAGACTGGGACCAATCAGGACTAACTTCAACAAGTCTATGCTCTAAACTATTAGGCAATGCTGCCTGAATGAAATGATTATAGGATCCTTAAGTATATTACCAAAAGGTGATTTAGCATTCTTATCATATAAACTCAAAGACACGTTGAATTATGGCAAGTAGATTCTGATACATTTGTCGTTATGACAGGTTTCAATAGATTAATTTTGAAAACACTGCTGCAACACAAGGTAAAGTCAAAGGCAGAGGAAGAGGCAAAAACTATAACACTAAATACCCATAAACAGAGTTAGTAGTGATCACTTCTATCAGCATGGAAATTCCAAATCAGTGATAATACCTCACGAAAGCAAGGTGTCAGGGAGATACTTTATCACCAAATCATTTGTCTGGAGTTTAACATTTTTAGTTCTTAAAATCATGTTTGAGTGTGTGTTGGGTTTTGTTGTTCCAATTTTTGGGGGGAAGGGGGTTATAACATTAAAAGAGAAATATGACCCTCATAATATTAGAAAAATGATCATTGGTTCATTCAAGGAACCATATATTTTCCAACAGGGGTGGGAGAAATTTACCCACTCCCTAAATATTTATGAAATTCAAATTCCAAAAATTTTTTTTTCACTTTCCAAAATATTTTTTTAAAATAGTAGCTGGCATTTGCATTTGAGTTGGTTTAGAAAATAGTAATATTTGACCAAAAGAGGCAGAGAAATGAATTGCTAAATACTAATGGAAATGAAGATGAATCAGGATTATGATATAAAGATATCCAAAATGATATAGGTCAATGAGAAATGAAATTAACTTACTAAAAATAAACTAGCTTTGCAATAATACATTTGTTGTGTGAAATTTATAAAATAAAAATCAGGACGGAGGAGGGGAGAGAGAGATCTTCCATGGCCCACCACACAAATTCTAATTCTCAGGTCACAGAAGCCAAACGATAATAATGTGTTGTCTGATGGCTTCTATTATTACTATAGTTACTCTACTTATTAAACGTTTACATTATTCTAGTACTTTCCTTTAAACTATGATAGCAAAAAAAAAAAGCATTATTTTTCTAATTGCCTTGCCTTTTATTGACGGATACTGAAAGACGACAGGCTGTCACACTCGCATTCAGATATGTTTGACCCTCTCTAGTCTTCGTAGAATGTGGCCAAGGTATCCCTGTCCCCGGCGTTCCGCCCCCACCACGGAAACGAAAGTATATCAGGCTCCGCCCCACCGTCTGCGGAGTGAGCCAATCAGGGCGCAGCCCGGGCTGATCGCGTGCCCGGTGTCATGGCGGCCTGCAGGCACTGCTGCTCGTGCCTCCGGCTCCGGCCGCTGGGCGATGGCCCCCTCCGTCTATCAGGGCGGGATCGGGCACTCACCCAGCTGCAGGTGCGAGCACTATGGGGTGGCATGGGGTCCCGTGCCGTGGCCGTGGACTTAGGCAGCAGGTAAGAAATGACGTGCGTTCTCTGTCCTTTCACAAGTCATCCTGTCCGGCTAGCCCAAGTACATTCATCTCCCAGGGCACGAGTCTAGTAACCCTGGTCTCTTCCCCCCTCTGTTTACCCCAAACCTAAATTCCAAATTTCCCTCTCTGGGGTTGGAGTCTGTCCCCCGGCACCCTTCCCGTTCCCCCCGTCTCCCAGCTCATGTCCTTTGCTTCTTGATCCTCCCTCTTGCCCGGTTCCTGGCTTCCTTTCTCCAGCAAAGTCAGCCCACCAGACTTACATTCTCCTTATTTTCAGGGATTTCTAGGCTCTGAAATTGGAAACACTCCACCTGGGGATAATGGGCTGACAATGGATGCTTACGTCATCCAATTCGATGTACTGCCTAAAAGCGTGGCCCTGGTTATGAAGGGAAGGGAAACGCCAGTTTATTGAACACCGGTTGTATGACACCCTCGTTTTAAATCTGAAGTAAAGGTTCTATTACCCCATTTTATAGTTAAGAAAACAGGGGCTCGGAAATGGTTAAGTAACTTTCTCAGAGCCAACAAAGCTAGTTCTATGAGACTAAGTGAATTTTGAACTTGGGTTTGTTACAAAGCCCATACTTTTTCCATGAGTATTTTTGCCAGAATTCACGTCTAAAATAACTTTTTAAAAACTCTACTTGAGTCATTTTTAAAATAATGAAAATGTGAACACTTACTTTATATGAATCTACATTTTATATTTTTTACATGTACTTTTTAAAAAGTTTACCCTAGTTCATACAAAAAACAGAAAAATCTGGTTTTGAATCCAGCCTTCCTCCCTAACTTACTAAATGACTGATCTTGAACAAATTACTTAATCACTTTTTTTATTTTGCAAAATGAGGAGACTGGACTAGATCAAGGGTCTGCAAACTTCTTTTGTAAGGGGCCAGATAGTAAATATTTTAGTCTTTGTGGGCTGCATACTGTCACATATTTCTGTGTGTGTTTGCAAGCGCTTTAAAAAAAACACATTCTTAGCTGAAAAGCTGTGTAGAAACAGGCTATATAGTTTGTTGACCCCTAGACTACATGATCTGTAAGGCTCTTTCCACCTCTGGCATTCGTTGATTCTGATTTTTTGAGGGAGAGGATATCTCTTCCATTCTTCAAGGACTGAACATTCTTCTCTGAAGAAATGCCCCAGAACATTTCATTCAACAGACACCTACTATGTGCTAAGCACTAGGGACTCAAAGCAACAAAATGAGCCCCTGCCCTCCAAATTTTTCATAAATATTCTTCTTTGAATCTTTTATTCATTAGTAAACCTTGACCTATTTTGTAGCTAGTTCTTTTTAAACCTGTGTCATGTGTTGTAACAACTAGATTCATAAATAGCATACTTGCTGGGTAAATAAATTCTTTTATCTCTGTTATAAGTTTGTTGCTTGCAACATTTATTGGGTGATTGCTGTGTACTATGCCCTTTATATTGTTATCATATGTATTCTTTACAGTGCCCTAGGAAGTTGTATACTATTGTGGTAAGTGTTTTTTTAGATATGTATTTAATACAGTAACCTTTGAGGAAACTGTTTAATTTTTTTATTGAGCATCTACTATATACTGGACACTGTATGAGGGATTGAGATAAACACAAGTTCAGTCCTGGGAAAATCACTGTGGGAGAGGTATGGACAGGGTGCTAAGGGAGCATAGAGGCATATTTATCCCACCCTAAAGCTTGCCATTGAGGGTAAGTCTTGAAGGGCAAGGAGAAAGTATCAGAGAAAGTGGCAAGTACAATTGCAGAGAGGTGAGAGAGTGCCTTTGAGAAGCTACAAATAACTTACTATGAATGGAGTAAGCTGATCTGTTTCAAACCTTCAGTGGCCTTTTTGTATGTCTGCAGAAACTGGGAAATAAGGCTGACAATGCTGCCTATTTCATATATATGTTATATATATATTATATATATAATATATATATATATAATATATATATAATATATATATTAAGATACAATTCATATACCATACCATTTACCCATTTAGAATGTACAAGTTAATGGTTTTTAGTATATTCATAGAGTTTTGCAATCATCACCATAATCAATTTTAGAATATTTTCATCACCTAAAAAAGAAATCTCTGACTCGTTAGCAGTAACTTTCCATTTCTCCCAAACCCCACAGCCCCAGGCAACCACTAATCTACTTTCTGTCTCTATGGATTTGCCTATGCTGGGCATTTCATATAAATTGAATCCTATGATATGTGGTCATTTGTGATTGTCTTCTTTCACTTCACATGTTTTCAAGGTTTATCCATATTATAACATGTATCAGTACTTCATTTTTTTAATGGCTGAATAATATTCCATTGTATGGATTATACCACATTTTGTTTATTCATTCATCAGTTGACAGACAATTGGGTGTTTCTATTTGGGGGCTATTACGAATAATGCTGCTATGAATGTTCATGTGCAAATTTTTGCATGGACATATGTTTTCTTTTCTCTTGGGTATATACTACACCTAGGAGTAGAGCTGCTGGATCATATGGTACTTCTGTGTTTAACCTTTTAAGAAATTGCCAGATTATTTCCTAAAGCAAGTGTATCATTTTACATTTCCATCAGCAGTGTATGAGAGTTCCAGTTTCTCCACATCCTCACCATCATATAACCAGCTTAGTAGATGTGAAGTAGTATCTCATTGTGGTTTTTTTTTTAATATAAATTATTTTTTTTCAATTACAGTTGACATTCAATATTATTTTATATTAGTTTCAGGTGTACAGCATAGTAGTTAGCTAGACATTTATATAATTTATGCAGTGATTCCCTCTGATTAGTCTAGTACCTACCTGGCTTATACATAATTGTTGCAATATTATTAACTATATTCTCTATGCTGTACTTTACATGCCATGACTGTTTTGTAACTACCAAGTTGTATTTCTTAATCTCTTCACCTTTTTCACGCAGTCCCCTAATGCCCCTCCTCTCTGGCAACCATCAGTTTGTTCTCTGTATCTGAGTCTGTTTCTATTTTGTTTGTTTATTTTGTTCTTTAGAGTCCATATAAAAGTCAGATCATATGGTATTTGTCTTTCCAGTCTGACTTATTTCACTTAGTATAATACCCTCTAGGTTCATCTGTGTTGTCGCAAATGGTAAGATTTCATTTTTTATTTTTTTATGGCCAAGTAATACTCCACTGTGTATATGTACTACATCTTCTTTATGCAGTTGTCTATTGAGGGGCACTTAGGTTGCTTCCATATCTTGGCTATTGTAAATAACGTTGCAGTGAACATAGATGTGCATATATCTTTTTGAATTACTGTCTGGATTTCTTTGGATAAATACCCATAAGTAGGTTTACTGGGTCATAAGGTAGTTCTATTATTAATTTTTTGAGGCACTGTATAGTTTTCCATAGTGGCTGTACCAATTCCCACCAACAGTGCATGAGGGTTCCCTTTTCTCCGCATCCTTGCCAACATTTATTGATTTATTGATGATAGCCATTCTGACAGGTGCAGGGTGATATCTCATTGTGGTTATAATTTGCATTTCTCTGACGATTAGTGACATTGAGCATCTTTTTTTTTTCTTTCTAAAGTTTCAGGTGTAAAAAACAACATAGTGAGTAGATATTTATGTACTTCACAAAGTGATAACCACAATAAGTCTATTGCCCATGAGCATCTTGGTCTATTGGCTATCTGTATATCTCATTGTGGTTTTGATTTGCGTTTCCCCAGTGGCTAATGATGTTGAGCATATTTTCATGTGCTTATTGTCCATTAGTAGATCTTCTTTGTAGAGACATCTATTCAAATCCTTTGCCAGTTTTTAAAATTGCTTTTTCTTTTTATTACTGAGTTGTAAGAATTCTTATATATTCTAGATACAAGTCCCTTATCAGATATATGATCTGCAAATATTTTCTCCTGTGAGTTTTCTTTCACTTTTTTTTAAAAATAGACCTTTTTTTTAGAGCAGTTTTAATTTCACAGCAAAATCGAAAGTACAGAGATTCCCCACTTACCCCCTGCCCCCCACATGCACAGCCTCCCGATTATCAACACCCCCATCTTTCTTTCACTTTCTTGATGATATCCTTTGAAGCATGAAAGTTTTTAATTTTGAAATCCAATTTATCTTTTTTCTTTTGTCAGTTGTGTTTTTGATGTAATATATAAGAAGACTTAGAAGTTTATAAAGATTTACTCCTATGTTTAACCCTAGGAATTTCATAGTTTTAGCTCTCATGCTTAGTGCTATAATCCATTTTGAGTTAATTTTTATTTATAGTATGAAGAAGGGATCCAACTTACTAACTTTTTTGCATATGGCTATCCAGTTGTCTCAGCACCATGGACTTGTTTTGGTACCATTGTTGAACATGAAGGTCTTTGTAGGCGATTTTTGAAGTATATATTTTGTCCTGAAAGCAATTAGGAAATTTTAAATGATTTTAAGTAGGGAAATGATCCAGTTTGTGTGTTAAAAGTCTACTTTAGTCAACAAGGGAAGGGATAACAAGAGACTATATACTAAGATGATAAATGGGAATTAACGTTTAAGAAGAGAGCTTCTTGACCCCTAAAATACTTTATTTCTCATTTAGATTACTCTTGTACCTTGATTTCTACATTCTCCCTTAAGCAGCTCTTAAATTCCCCTTGAAGTTTTAATAATGATTATGAACTCTATCCCTTTTTTTGTTTGATTTTTGCTGTGTAGGGGTCCTGTGGGACTTGGTAACCTTTAATCCTTCTGTTAGAATCTTTGATTATTTTATACTAAGCTGACTGATGACTTAAGTTTTTTTGTACTGGTTTTTATTTTTAAACAGAAAATTGGAAATATCCTCTGGAAAGCTGGCCAGATTTGCTGATGGCTCTGCTGTAGTACAGGTAAAAAGTCCAGTTTTTTACATTGTCATCTTAAAAATGGTTATGGAGACAGGTACTGATACTTTTTCAATATCACATAACTTCTTAGAATTGTGGTAATGGTAATTCAGACCATTTCTAGTGTCAGAACCATTCCAAATAACCAGGAGTCAGAGGGCTGGATATATTAAATTTCCTGTAAGAGCTCTTCTAAACTTGGGGTTCTGTTTTATTTTGTTAATAAATTCTATACTACTTTTCTAGAGAAAGTGATTTTACTGGCTTTTTCAATAGTAATCCTTGGAAAGTTTTTCTTTAAGTATAGCCTAAATTTTCTTATAAGAAGTAGAAAATATGATTGGATGTAACTAAGCTATCAGTGAGCCTTTTTTTTTTTAATTTCTATTGCTTTTGAAAAGCTCAGGGACTGCTCTAATACAACCATAATCATGCAGAAGGGATCGAGACTGGACTACCTGTGAAGAATTATTGTCATTGTCACTGGGTCATGGATAACAGTTCTCTTTCTTTGGGTTTAACTGGAGTGAGGATTCAGTTAGTCACTACTTACATGTTAATATCTGATTTTAAAGGAATTTGCCAATATTGTTGTTTGTGTTTAACTAAGTCAGGTGATACTGCGGTGATGGTCACAGCGGTCAGTAAAACGAAACCTTCGCCTTCCCAGTTCATGCCTTTGGTCGTAAGTATTTGCTGATTTATCTGAATTGTCATATAGCATAAATGTAGAATTTGTAATATTTTTGTCCAGTGTCTAGTGAGTGTAAAATGTAAACTCCCCACAACAAATGATTTTCCTTAGTTGTTTGATACTAAGTAATTAAAAGAATTTAAACTGATTGCTTCATAGCCAATTCTCATGTTAGCATACTTCAGAATGTTCAGGTTCGTAAGTTGACAACAACTGTTCAAGTGTATGAGTATTTTGATGTTGAATGAACAATTAATTCATTGCTTCATAGGTTTCCCTTCAGTATGAGCCTGCATGTATATGTTTGCTGAAGAGTAAAAACTTCATTACAATTTTATGGCATCTTCCTGTTATGAAAAGGGGGGTGATGCAGTTATATCTAACAGAGTCGACACCAAAATGTTCAACTTGACTAGAATAAGCTACGATGGCAAGTAGTGAAGCTAGGTGGTCATCCGACTGCTAAGTGGAAGGCTTTTTAAAAACCAGTTTGCTGAAACATTTCTATCAGTTCTCCTTTCCTTCAGCGATACAAAATGTTAAAAGTAAATAAAATATTCTCCACTCTTAGTATGGAATATGTTGTTAGCAACCTCAGCAAAATTAGCATCATCATCATAGTTCTTAGGGAATAGATGTTACAACAAAAAGCAGTCAAATAAACTTCATTTTCTTCACTGCTACTTCAGGTTGACTATAGACAGAAGGCTGCTGCAGCAGGTAGAATTCCCACAAACTATCTTAGAAGAGAGATTGGATCCTCTGATAAAGAAATTCTTACAAGTAGAGTAATAGGTAAGATGTTAAGATGGAAGCATTAGCCCTCTTTGATATGCCTGTTAACATCTCTCTCTTCCATCTGTGTTCTATAATATCTCTTAAATTTTCTTTTATTACATTAATACCTCCTAAGATTATTTACCTTCCGTATTCCCTCACTCAAATGTGGGCTACATGAGAGAAAAATTGTTTTGTTCACTACTGAATCCCCTGTACGTGGTACACTGCCTGGCACAAAATAGGTATTCAATAAATACTTGTTGACTAAATGAATGAATCTCTATTGATCATATAAATTTTGTGACCCACACCTCTACTCTATTTTCATTTTCATGTTTAGCATAGTAATTCCTAAAAGCATTATATTCACCAGCTAATGAAATATCTATAATCTTTCAAATCTTTGACATACTTAAATATTATGAAATTGTAGTTTATAGCTCTTCTACCCAGAAATTGCTGGGTTTTTTAATGTTTATATGCATTCATCAGACACAAAATACCAAAGAATATTTTTTTTGGTTTGCTATTGTTCTTAAGTCTCTTTCCTCTGCTTAAAAAACTGATACCTGTGGAATCCGAATGAAAAGTTGCTCCCCAATTTTAGACTTGTGTGTTCCTGCTCTGCTAATTTTTTGTTGTTAGGCATTGGTGTGTATTAATTGAAGCATTGACATTTATATTTGTCCTTTTCTATAAATTAGTCCAACAGGATTTTTTTTTCTTTTTCTTTTTTTTCTTTTTCTTTTTTGTAACACTATTGAACAGCTAGCTATATTAATTTTTAGCCTGGTGTTTTATTAGGGAAAAGATTTTGAACTGTAAAGCAACTTCTGTCAGTACTATTTAATGTTTTCTTTTTTTCTTTTGGCAGATCGTTCAATTAGACCTCTCTTTCCTGCTGGCTACTTTTATGATACTCAGGTAGGGTCTTCTTTATGTTTATTTGTTTCTATCTAGATCAATCAAAATTGTTTAATGAATCTCTATAATACTTCCTAGGCTAAACATTATAATGACCCATATACTTTAATTAATAATTATTTATTTGATAATAATAAATGTCCCTTGCAAATATATCTTTGCAAGGATGTCACTGCCTCAAGAAATTATTTTCTTAAGTATAAGACATAGGCATGTTATTGCATTGTAAAGTAATTCATTGGTTTGTTTTGTTTGTGCTTACAAACAAGAGATAATATTTTTACATAATAGAAATAGCTAACATTTACTGAATACTTTCAACATGCCCAGTATTGTAAATGCTTTACACATAATATGTCCAGTAATTTTCATAAGAACCTTTTAGGAAGATGCTATTATTTTCCCTTTAAAGATGAGGAAACTTTTGAGGCTTCATATAAGTAATTTGCCCATGGTCAAGCATAGTTAAATGACAATCAGAATTAAGGAGTTTGACTACAAAGCCCGTGATTTTAACAATGTAGCGCTCCTATATTTTAGGCGAAGATGTTAACTGAAATGATAATCCTCCCAAATCAAGCATATTTTGTTAAGTGCTTTGAATTTTTTCCCTTGTATCAGGTCCTTTGTAATTTGTTAGCAGTTGATGGTGTTAATGAACCTGATGTCCTAGCAATTAACGGTGGTAAGTATAAAAATAGAGATTAAAATTATCACTGTTGATTTTTTTAAAAGCAATGAAATATTTTTATTTCAGCTTTTTTTTTCTTTCTTTTTTTAAGCTTCTGTAGCCCTCTCATTATCAGATATTCCTTGGAATGGACCTATTGGTAAGTTAGAATTTGAAAATAAGAAACAGTTATGATTTTTCCAAAAATTCTAGTGAGCATGCTATATAGCAAGGGCATATGTTGAATTAGATGATATTCTAAGACTTCTTTCAGTTCTTTGAGACATTCTCATCCTCGACTTGGATTTTGTTTCTGATAGCAACATGTTATGGTATTAGAGATTTTGTGTCCTACGATACTTTGATTTTTTATTTGCCTCTCCTGTTTGAGGACTAGGAAATTGTCAGAGTATATACTCTTTCAAGATAAAACATATGTTTGTATTTACTATTATCAGTTATAATCATGCAATAGAAATATGATTCATCAAGTAAATAATTATTAAGTGTCCTACATGCCAGATACTGAGCTAAGCGCTAAAGGAACAAAGGCAAACGAGGCACCAGCAATTCAAAGGTGAATGAGGCAGTTGTTGTTTTCAGTGTAAGGGAAACACAAATAATTATTTATAAACAATATTATAAGGTATAGTCAAAATGCTAAGAAAATGATAGAGAAAAATGGGTTTAGTCTTAAGTAAGGCAGTGAAAGGGGCTTCTCAGAGTAGTCAACATTTAAGCTGAACCATAGTAGGATCAAATGGTAAGGATTTGCTTTAGAAAAAGTACAGTCTAGACCAGGAGAAGATCATGAGCATAATCAAAGAGGTATGGAAGAAATGGTGTATTTGAGCAACTCAGAGTAATCCAGTAAGGCAGGAAGTGGGGCGGGGTAGGATGTTCTGTGGGCTTAAATACCATGGTAGAAATATACACTTTATTGTGATCACAATTGAAGATAGGGGTTGAAGCCATCGCTGGAATCATGTCTTGAAAACTGAGAGTTTGTATTACACAATTGCCAATATTTTAATATATTTTAGGGGCAGTGCGAATTGGCATCATTGATGGAGAATGTGTTGTTAACCCAACACGAAAAGAAATGTCTTCCAGTACTTTAAATTTAGTAGTTGCTGGAGCACCTAAAAGTCAGATTGGTAAGTAGTTTAAGTACTACATTTGTTCTGGATTTTACTTACAAGTTCTGTTCTTAAAAATGCATTTAATTTAAACTTTTTTGTATGTGTATTTTGTTTATTAGTCATAAAGATTTTTGTTTTGTTTTATTGGTGCCTTATTTTGGTAGTACTCTTGCTTTATAGCAAACAATTCCTAGAAATACAGCACGTTGTACAACTTTGACTGAAATATACAAAAACCTTTACCAAGATATTGTAATTTTAGGAATTATTTTTAGATTGATAAGCTAGTTTAGAAATTAAAGTTCTAAACCTGGTTATAAGTTAATTGTTTTGTTAGCTTAAATATATTAATTTAGCTAATTGAGTCATTTTAAACCCATTTGATGTCCTCTGAGGAACAAGGGACCTATTTCTGAGGTGGAAAACTAGTAATAAAGTAGAAGAAATACACTGGGTCACCTACACTCCTTGTAACAAAAATGTCATAATTGCATGAGTGAAAATCAGGGCCTGATTCTATTGAAGAAGAAGGGGCTTTAACAGTCAGAAAGACCTGGGTTTGAAACCCAGCATCTTCCACACATTAGTCATGTGACTTTGGACAAATTCATTAAGGTCTCTTATCAGTTTATTCTTCTACATGACATTCGATGTCTGGGACTTTTTGACATAGTACCTTCTTATGTGGTAACATTTCGATAGAATGTAAACTATTAAACTTTTAGTGCTTTTTAATTAATGTGTGAAACACCTCATTTCCAGCTTCTTTTGGATTAGTGGTCAGTAATGGAGTTAGAATTAGGTGCTATACGATAGAACGAACACATGTAATAAGAATTATATGTTATCTACATATTATAATAGTTAGGGATTGTGTTTTAAACCAAGTAACAAGGCTTGACATGGGAATTTATTTTTCTCTCAGGTAAAAGAAATTCAAAGGTAGTGAGTCCAGGACAGTTATAGCAGCTTAAGAAATCCAGATTGCTTCTAGCTTTCTGCTCTATTATCCTCAAGGCGTGACCCTCATTTTCATGCTGATGAACGGGCCACCAGAGCCCTGGCCAACTTATTGGACTTATAGGCAAGAGGAAGGAAAAGGAGGGGAATAGCCAAAAGGTGTGTGCCAGCTGCGTGAGTTGCCCTCCTTTTTGAGGAGTTTTCCTGTAAGTCCCCAAACAGCAGCTTCCCCTTAACATTTCATTGGGCAAACTGTGACACATGACTACATCCTTGACTACCAGGGAGGCAAGGAAATGGTTTTTAAATTCCTCCTCCGGAAGGAGGAATCATACTGTGGAGAACTATCACAATGTAGAGAGGGCATTCCAAAGATTTAGGGAAGTCATGGATAATACAATTGTATTACATTGGATAATACATTGTATTTGAGCATCTCAGAAAGGGCCTTGAGCAAAGGATTGGTTTCCTGTTTAAGTTCACTTGGTCCACATCTGAAATGTTTCTTGCTTAAAGTTACAGTTTCAATTAGTAAATTGATTTGGCTACACTTTACAGAGTTGTGAAGATTAGAGTCCAGGTTTATAAAGTGCCCAGCATAATACCTAGTAGGCATACCATACAGTTAATACCTGCTATTATTAAGACAGAAATAAACTTATTTCTAAATGGTCACATAGCCTCTATTTGCCTTAGAGTTTAACCACTCTAATTTTAAGTAGACGTAGGAATGAACTAAGGATCTTTACTGTATGTATGTCATGCCATAGAAACCCTCTAGGTAGCCTTTGAGCTGGCTGTTCTCAACTGTTGCCCTCTAGATGGAAGAATGAGACTCTAAAGAGTGCATGAACCATCGGAAGGTAGTCTTGAGTAATTAGAGGGAGGCTGAGACTGATTCAGAACCAACCTGTAAGGAGACTGGTTTCAGAAATTACCAGCCTCCATTTTATGATTTTTATATCGCTATTTCCATGAAGATATTTAGCCAGCTCTCTGTGGTTTCATAAAGGTGCACCATATGTACATCTGACCCCATGTTCATGTTAAAGTTAATATTGGGTCCAAGTCAAATACCACCACCATGGAACTTCTGGGATACAAAAATACAAAAAAGTAATTGCTACCATTTCATTATTAAAATATTAGTAACCCAAATCTTTAAGGTATGACCTTTTCGGGGCAAGAATAATTTCTTTGCGCTGTCAGCTACTAGATTACTTCAGCAACCATTATTCTGCACAGTGCTATTTAGATACTTGTTTTCAACTAGTACATTTATAATAATATCACTAATCTTTCTGTGTATACTAGGACATAATTCAGGAAAAGTATACCAGAAACAATTTTTAAGAAAATTGTATCTAGAATTCTCATAGCTTAAAATAATCTCAAAAATCCTTTAACTACTGAAAATGGTTAATAGTTTAGAGTAATCATTTTAACAAGCTTTTTTGTTTAAATTTTTACCTTTATGTTAGTGCTATCCAGTAGAACTCTCTGGAATGAAAGAAATGTTTTATATCCAAATATGTAGCTACTGAGTCCTTGAAATATAACTGGAGTGACTGAGGAACTGAATTTTTAATTTTATATAATTTTAATTTATTTAACTGCAAATAATCATATTGGACCAGTAGTTACTATATTGGACAACACAGATCTATAGACTCAAAACTATAAGGAATTTTCTTACAAAACATTTTAAAAAATGAATTGCTTTAAAGTTTAATTGGTGAAACAAAGTTTATTTGAGGAGTATTCATTTTCTTTACCATATCCTTTCATATTCTCTTTTTAAAATCA